GACCTTGCGGCGAGCTACAGATCCATCTTGCCGTATCGCAGCAAAGGCAGTCTTCGTTGCCTCTGCACGCCCGCAAGTGTAGGAGTAGGTTTAGGTGTAGGTAAGGTGGCCCTCCCTTCCATAATCACCATTATCCCTTTCAGTCACTGTTCTGGATGGGGGTTCCACCTAAGGTCTAGGTTGAAGATTCATTGCTTAGGTTGAGGGCCCTGGATCTGGCATAATGGGACGGGGTTCTCAGGTACTTCCAGGGGCGCCCAGAGAAAAAACAGAAAGAGGCTTGCAGAAGACCGCCCAAATCTAAGAGGGTCCCGCCTTTCAATCTGGGTCCTCCTCTATTAGGACCAACTAGAGCAGGGGAGTTTCCAATGGGGGAGCTTGTATAAGGGGTGTACAAGGGGATATAAGGACCATGGAAAGTTATATGAACTATGGTCTAAACTCCTAGTATCTCCCTTAAAGGCCCGTACAATACTCCCCTATGTAGTCCCCTATATAACCCCCCTTAAGGAGTTTAGACTATAACGCATAGAAAAGGTATACAGGGCTTATGCAACGTCCCTACATGGTACTGCACTCCTGTAGTTGGCTCAGACTATACCTTGCTTTTACACCTCATCTTACTGGTTCTGGGTAGGCTATATGGGAATATACTTCCTATATAACCCCGAAGATAATATGAGATAAGGGGATATAATCCTTATATAATCCCTAGATAGTATTGGATAAGGGAATATAATCCTATATAACCCCATAGCATGTTCCCGTATGTCTTACTCAGATCCAGTAAGTCATTGTTACTGTCGATGGCACCTACAATCTCCAACCTTACGCCTCTCACAGCCTGCAGCCACGCTGATCCCTGAAATCGGTTTAGGGTTTACTGTTTAGGGTTCAGGGTTTAAGCCCCCGAACTGCAAGCCCAATCCCCAAACACCGCGCTGTAGTGGCCTACATAATCAGGCTAGGGTTTCAGGATATGTGCTGATAAAACTTTGGATGATGACGCAATCAATAGTACGGGTAATCAGTCAGGTTTCTGCAGTAGGGACATGGTCCAACCACAAATCTCAAACCCTAAATGAGCTACAGCCAATATTTCCTTATGTGCTCAACGGACATGGGTTCCCATTAGGGAATATATTGGGATTGCACGAAGCTACCAAAAGGAGCCCTTATGCCTACCCTTAACGGTCCCTTAGTAACCTTGACATTGACCGTAGCTCATCTTATCCCTGTAAACCACTGGATACTTCTATTTCATTTTCCATTCTCCTTTCCATTTGGTTCTCCCATTATATGGGGTGCTATCCGTGGATCCTTGGTACCCCTCAACCATGTAAACTGCTACATTATACAATCCCAACTTCCATTTCATCTACCATTTTCTTTTCCACTTGATTCTCTACTATTAAGGTAATAACAGGACTATAAACCATAGCTCAGATGCCAGAGAGCCTGGATATGCGTCACCTTTTTCAAGTCATGTTGCACGGAACCTCAGCCAGGTCTCATAGGTTGAGGGTTTTCTGGTTACCCTACGTGAGGAAAAATCTGGGGGTGTAGTATAAGGAGAGGGGAACTCGTGAGTTTAGGGCCAAGCGCTGCCGGTCAAGGGGTTTCGTGGGTGGGTCATGTGAGAGACGCTTAGGAAATCCATGGATACATATGGGGATTAGAACGGGATTCTACAGGCGCCTCTCGACCCTGATTTCGTTGATGGACATGAATGTATCCTGCTTGGGACATTGTTTTTATGTTTTCATGCTTGGTGCCTTCGAGTTCTTGGGGTTCAGAAAAATCATTCTCGGCTGTCAAGTGCGAAGGACGCATGCAAAAGATGTGCAACCCCATCATCTCATAGGTTTTTTCGCACCAAATCTTGCACCCTGAAAATTACAACAAGATTCCTATGCACCCCTGCTGTTCGTAGGTGGTAACCTTACCGTCCGCAAGAAAACAATGATCCGGTCCCCTCCATATAGTTTACAGATATGGAGGCTTCTCAAAAATCAGGGGTACCTGTCATGGGGGTCTGGTAGTGGGATTATAAGTCCTACGGATACTGCACTGCAGAATCTCGGAGAAACAAAGACATTAGAACTTTTTTGCTTATGAATAACATGTATCTTCAGCCAAAACTCTGTTCAAAACAAGCATGCTTCCACATCACCAGACAAGGATTGCAAACCTGCACCTGCATATTGTTGAGATACTTGTACAATGCCACGAGGACTCTCGTAGGGCTCAAACGTACATACAAGTTGGTTTGCTATACCCTAAACACCAAATTATAAACCCCAAAACCCGATATGCTAGATTGGGTTGCTTTTAAGGAAATAAAACTAAGCTAGTGTATACGGAAACCCATTATGCATTATATACCCAGAATATGGTAACTTGATTTAAAATCCTGGACAACAACCTTGTAGGCCTCCAACCATAAGCAACTTAGGAGCTGCTGTCACCACCAGCTTCCGGGCTACCCCAGGCTACCACAGAGCCATCGGCCAAGAGCGCAGCGAAGGCCGCCTCTGGGACGTGCTTTCAGTTAACCGTTTTATCCCCTTTACTGGGGGTTAGTATGGATTAAGGGAATGTATTCCCTTATTCCTTATAAAGAAAACAAGAAAATCAAAACCATGTTTCATGTTCCTCATCGGGTACTCATAAAGTGTAGCAATGATACGGATCCTGGTGCTTCTGCGCGTAAATCAAGGTTATCCAAAACCGGTCATCATTTCGACAACCTTCTTCAAGCGCTCAACGTCAAAACCTTGTGACTATGGCAGTCTTTGGACACTGGCCGGGCCCATACGCCAGAGCTTAGGGCTTGTGCACGATGGGTAAGACAGGTAAGCATGACTGCGTTTTAAGATGTTGTAGGCTTGGTGTTTCTCAAGCTTGGGAATTTTCATAGTGGCGCGGCAGCACTACAACATAAAACCCTACATGCTTACCCGCGTGCCCCCCGTCCTGCGTGGCTTGGATGTGTTTCACGCCCTTGAGACGTTGCTGCACCAGGCTGCAGTCCCCACCAAATCCTCGATCACAGAACCGCGACTCAGGGATTATAGGGCTTAGGGCTTGGTGTTGAAAGTAAAACAGTCTTGAGCTGCGTGCTTAGCGATTTGAACAGTTCTTGGTTTAGGACGAGCAGTTTGCTGTTTAGAGTTAGCAAAGAAAGGTTTGAAAAACAGGGGATAGGGTGGATAGAAATAGAATTCAAGTGTACGAGGAGAGTACCTTCGGCGACTCAGGCTCATGAATACTAAAAGTTCCGATGAATATCATGAGGAGCTTTCATGGCACGAGTGCAACAGTGGCTCTAGGCTAGACAAAAGCCGACGCGTGTGCACCACTCAGCGCCATGAAGAAATGACTGCCTGTGCCTATCCCCCCATGCAAGCGAAAAGCCGTATTGTTTGATTGCATTTCTTTGAAGGCGGGTGCTGCTGATTGACGCCGCATTGGGAACTAAGCCCTAAAGCCTAAATGCCTGAGACCCCATCTCCCTTAGACCCAAAACCTGTTAAATTAAAAGCCACTCAACCACAAAACATTTACACCCAAAGTCCCTCATCTCGGGGGCGCTTAGCAAAAGCACGCGCGCTGCCCCATGCAAGGGCTGTCCCATCCCCGAGGATGGCGGCAAAGGCGTGGTTGGTGGCAGCGATGCGCTGTGCCTGTTTTTTTATGGGCTTGAAGGGTTTAAGAAGGATTGTGGATGTGAAAGCAGCTTGAGTGGAGTTCAGAATTTTGTGGCGGTGTTATGGCTTAGGTCTCAGGTGGGGTTAGTGTTTGGGAAAGCGAAAACTTTTGCAGGCTCCGCATTTTTTGACTGCCCGCTCTGTTGCGAAAGCGCTGCCGCGTCCGAAATGGCTGGCCAACCCAAAACCTACAATGCAGCTTCCTCCTCCAAGGCATGTTTTCGCGCTTGAGATCGCGCAGCGCCACGCCGACAGGTAAGTGAAGGCCACCTCGGACAGAAGCTGCTGCGTGAGTTCACCATGCACCATTGAAAGCAAAGTGACTGCTTGCACGTGTGATGTAGCTTGCTAGCGTGCCGTCACGTGGGCTTCGGTGGCGGAATGGCCAGTGTACAGCTCCACCACGTGCGCGGATTCTTCATGCTCCATCTTGGACGCCTTTGCGTCGGCGCGGGCAGGCTTTACTTCGCAACTGGCCACGTGAAATGGAAGACCGTGCCGAAGTTTCCTTTGCCCAGCAGAATTGGCACCGGTTCCGGCTGCTGTGCTGTGCCTCCGGGTGATCGCCCAAAATCGGCGCCTGCACCATCGCCATTCTGCCCACAGAGAGCTGCTTGGTCCACACCAGGGCCACTGCCTCGCTTGGAAACTGTCAGAGCCTGTGCAATATCTTTCTGAGAGCTCTTGTGCGTTGATCACCCCAAAGTCGCACAACCTCACAGCGGCGCTGCGGGGAGAGGCTGTGGCCAGTGTCGCGTTGTGCCCACGGGGAGCGGCTTGGTCCACACCAGGGTCATTGCTGCGTGTGAACATCCTCAACTTGTGTACATTATCTCGTTCGCTGTTCTTCTGCGCAAAGCATGGTTTCATGCGTACACCTTGGCAAACTAACCAGCATCCATCTATTTCACTACGAGACATCAACCTTGAAACGCACGCCAATAAACCCTTTGCAAGTTTGAAAGTTATTGCTCCCAAACAAGGGTTACAGAGGCCTCCTTCACACCGACTCATTTTGGGGTCCGTTTTTGGAGGCCACAGGCTCCTGCAAAACTTGGTGTGCGCAGGCTGGAAAACCTGCACTCTACTTGTGCCACCACCACAATTTCAGTTGACTCCTACAGTACTCGTTGGCACTCCAATTGCACACTAGGCTTGCAATTGTCTGACCGCGCGGTCAGAAGCCGGTGCAAGTGAAGCTTTGCCTGAGAAGCACCTAACATGAAGTGCACAGGGTCACGCCAAAAGAATGATCAGCGGCGATGTGAGCCATCTTTTTCTCTGGACGGCGTCGCCATGGGCCGCTCCTGGCAATTGGTTTCTGGAGGCATGTCGCCTGTGCCAACAAACATGTTACGTGTACTCAGGCTTGGCACTCTTGCTCCTCCGGCACAGCCCACAGGGCACGCGAGAGTCGCCGCCATGTTTCAGGATGGCCTGATCACAAGGTGTTGAACGAACGAAGCTACTGCACGTGGTGCAGGTTGAAGGCCCCAAAGAAACCACGACAGAATGGCCCTGCGCGAAAAACCATGGTCCTTTCACTGCAGGGGGGTTCAGGCGTTGGGTAGGCGAAAGCAGCGACCTCTAAAAAATCATTAGTCCAGTCCAGTCCTGCTTCTTGATCCTTCGCTGTTGGCACCATGCAACATCGTGAAGCTCCACACCTTAGCTCAGGCCAGGCTGCGGGAGCTTCCGCTTTTAGGAGATGGTGGGCAGATTGACTTGTCGACGTGTGGCAAAGACTTCCTAGGGTTTAAAGCAAACCTCGTGGGAAACTGCCTGCAGGAGTTACAAAGCGTTGAGGGCTGGACGTTGCCGCCATTTTTGCTGCTCATCGTTTTTTTGGCCTTTGCATGACGATCGGTTGGAAAATTGGAAGCAAGCATGAAGTGAGCAACTGTTCCAAAGCTTGAATGTTCAGCATGACAAGCGGATTGCAAAGAAGGCAATCTGCCAAGACATGAAGCGAACACTTCGCTGATGACAATGGTGGCAGCAACAATAAAAATCGGAATCGCGCAACCTCTAAATACCTAACCACCGCCGGGACGCCTGTCGCTCAATCTGGGCACTTGCACGATCGAGCAATCGCATCGGCATCGGCATGGTGAGGTATCTATGCATGCTGTGATTTGCATGCTGTGCATCTGAGGTCTAGTTCCTGTTGCAGCCATGATGGACCTATGGTTGCTGTGGCAATGCTCCATTTGCATTAGAAGGGCAAGCTCTGTGGATGGGAGGGCTGTATCTCCTTGATCCAACTTCAGAGAAATACCCGGACATGCATGAACTTTGGACATGGGAGAGCTTTCGCGTTTCAAGTCCCTGCCTCAGTCATAGCAGTTTAGGGGTTTGGGGTTTAGGGGTTTCGGGTACTTAGGGATCCTGCTTCCTGCGGTTTAGGGTTTTGGGTGAAGGAGTACGTGGGTAATACTCTGGATTATAGGGGTCAAGCTCAAGGATTCTGCAAGGCTCCTTTTCTGAAAAACACCCATTTCAAGAACTACAAGAAAAGACGCAGGACTCTGACAAACCTCACGCTTCCAAATTTCAAGGTGTGCTGCATTCCCATTTTCAGCAAGTCTGGTATCCAAAGAGGAGAAGATCTGCACCTTGCCCCAGGTTGCAATTGATCCGTCTTCCTTGGTTGGCTGTGGGCTCAGGATTTTGAATGCCAGAAAACCGACTTGCTCAACCTTTAGACACTTTCTAGGGACAGGGGACATCCACTCTTTCGCCGAATCTCAAGGTCCTTGTAAGAAACATGGGATGGTGCTGACAATGTGAAGTCTGCATTGTCTTTCAAAAGCAGTACAAAAGGGTCTTGCATGTGGAAATTGGTCTTGCATCACCTACTTTTAGGATTTGTCGGGATTTGGCATCGCACAGTTCTTCTCACCAATATCTTACAGACGCTGAATCAGAAATGGCATGTAGTTCTCCCAAACTATTTAATTTGAACCTCTGTAGACTACGTGATGGGGCTGTTTAGCATTTGGGGAGAATATTTCTAAGTTGGCAAACTGCATGCATGTAGATGCTGCACTTTTATGATCCACCAAAAAAATAATTCCTTCATACAAATTCTACACATCCCCACCCCGAATATCCCCCGCCCCGAATATGAAATGTGGCCCGGATATATGACGTCTCTTATGGGTGCCATGTAATATTTGAGTGTGTCCAGGGGTGTTTAACATCAATATGACGTGCCTTAGAACGCTGACCGCACTGGGGCTATCACCAACTTTGTTAATGAACTCCACAATCTCTAAACCCCAAACCCTAAAACCATGAAACCCTATAATACTTCTCAGTACTCGTGGCGAGTCATTTAGCAAAGCAAATGGACAATGACATGGAAGTAATTGTTTAAGGTTTGGATCTCGGGTTTAGGATTAGAGTAATGAAGAATCGAGTGAAAAACGGAAGCTAAAGAGAACAGCCAACACTCCAAAGAATCAACGCCTCCAAATACCCCAGACCTGCAACTGAACCTCGAACCCTTAACTCAGAACCCTGCACTCTCCAAACTCCTGCCCCCCCAGACCCTAAACCCTAAACCCTAAATCCTAAATCCCTAAACCCTAATTCCCTTCTCGAATTAGACCAGCATCCAGAATTGCAGCGAAAGCACCTGGGCGCTTCTGTTTGCAAAGTCCCAGACCCCCTAGAGGATCCCAAAAAATGGAACCCCCCCAAATATGAGCCCATTACCTCGTTGGGGAAAATAGGGGATCATTAGGAGGTTCTATTTTTTTGGATTCTTTTGGGGCTCTGGGGTTGGGGGTCCAAACCGTTTAAAAGCACGAAACCTGGAAGCCCGCGTTCCCGGAAGTGAACCTGCCGGGTAAACCTTCGAAGATTTTGGGATTACGTAGGGATATAGGGATAATGGAAAAGAAAATGGAAACTACTATTGAGGGTTTAGGGATTTAAGGTTAACATAAACCCTAACCTGCGATGGGCAGCCCGCGAAGTTTGAACAATCCCAAACACTCAGGGTTTAGGGTTTAGGTAAACTTAACCGAATCCCATGCAGGAATCTAAAAACGCCGCCCAAACTCAAACAACTCTGAACCCCTGAGATGCAAAGCCTAATATTCTCTACCTAAAACTTTCAAACCTAAACCCTAAAGCCCTAAAACCCTAAACCGCTGCTTGAATCGTGTGGAGTCCTACCTTCCCGGCCAGGCGCCCAGGGAAGACTGAACCTGTTGAACTCCACTCTGTTGACCTGGGTTGCGCTTAGGGATCTGACATCAAGCAAGCGACCATGGTATAGGTATGTAGGATTCAGGGTTACCATATTCTGGGTATATAGTCGGAAACCCTGGAGTTTACTATATACCCATGTTATGGCAACTTAACTTAAATTCCTTAGCCGCAACCCAGTGACGCGTGATGCGTTCGAGGTCCACGTTGTCCCATGCCACCTTTAGGCGATGTGAAGAGCTTCTCAAATAATGCGTTTCTTCTGTGAGGGCGTGCAGGGTTTTCAAAGGAAGCCCTAAACACTAAACCCTATATAAACCCTAAACCCCATTAAGCCCTAAACCCCAAACCTGAGGATACAGGGATCTTCTGAAATCTTGGGGTCAGCCCTGGGGTTTTATTCGGAGACACCGTGAGAATATCCCCAGGATGAATGTGTCAACTACGATGGCCTTTGTACAGGGCAATTTAGAATAATTTCAGTTCCCAATTTGAAGCCATGGTGCAACTGTTCCCTAAATAAACTACCATTTAGGGTGAGGTGGGGTGAGGTCGCTTTAAATTGCACAGTTTGTAGTAAAGACGTTCGCATTGGCGCGCTGCTCAAAATGAAGGGACCCTGGGAAACTCCCACATCAATCGCAGCTTAGTCGCTAAGGTTCCGTCCCGTGACGTGGCCGCACATGTGGTCGAAGTACTTTGAACATGCAACACCTGGTTGTGCGCAAGCTTTCCAAAATTTGGGGTTCCATTGGGGA